TTGCAGTGTAAACGCTGCCTCCACATGGAAAACAAGTAAACAGTACCATAAAGCTTTGTTGTTTGCAAAACTTGTGCATATTTTTAAAAATGTACAAAATGTACAATTTCTATTTGATTCTTTAAACATGTTTGTGGTTTTTACAGTCAGAAATATCACTTTTTTCTACTCATGTTTTAAATTTTGTCTGAATGTAGATAAATTGTGCCGATACAGTTTGTCAAAATGAGAAAGTAACAGATTGGCAAGATAAACCGTTTTTAAAGGTGCAATATAGAGAACAAATCAAAAGTAGTTCACATTTTCACATCTTAATTTTTAAGTGAAATGTGCATTTTGAGTTTATACATAAAAAGCTTGCTGGAAAAGCTTGAAAATGGACCTTGAAAGTGCTTACAAAGTGCTTGAATTTGACCCTGAAAAAGGCGTATGAACCCTGTAGTTTGTGATCCTGTTATTTTGCAGTCAGGGAAAACCCCTGTGCCACTCCATACGTTCATCCCATAGGTGATTTAAAAACAAGTTGTCAGTTCAGTCACACATCTGTCCGTCCTTCCTTCCTTCCTTCCTTCCTTCCAACAGTTAAGAGGAGATAAATTGATGAACCTGTGTCTGGGATCAGTTACATTCAGATTTATTAATTTGATTTCACACAGTGTGGAGACACTTTAGTTTTTATAGATCGGGAGGTCATTGGTGTGCTGTGGATGTTTCCAACATGTTGTCCTCTGCTCAGTGTTAAAGGTCAAAGAAAAACACGCAACAGCTGAAATGTTCTTGCATGTTGCAGAGGTCACCAGGGGAGGGCTCCCATATTGAAAGGAATGACAACAGTGATGCAGTATTATTGCCCACACGAAGCACTGAGTGGGCTTTATGTTCACAAAGAGGAGCTGCAGCCTCACCGGTACATTTAAGAAAGGCTGTGCAATGTATCGAATATACTCGCCGTATCACGATGGTTACTATGGCTTCCTCCTAACCATCGAGTATAGGTTACCATGGCAATATTAAGCTTCCTGCACGTCATTCACTGCGAGGCTTTTTCTTCTCCCAACGCTCTGAATGCATCAATTAACCCCCCTCCCAACCAGAAAGTGTTCTACCCTGCGCTGAGCACGCGTTTCTCAGTCTGGATTTTGATGTCGAACAAAATGCGACAATCTGCAAAATATGCTGTGAAAGTATTGCTGCAAAAGGGAGCAGCACCAGGAAATTATTCCACCAGCTGAAAAGTCATCGACTGCAAAATGAAGACAGTTTTAAACATGTGAACGTCTCCCCACACACCAAAGAAACCTCTGAATAAACCAGCTGTGATATGAACTACGACTATCGCTGAGTCCATGTTATTGCTTATCAAATGTGAAGTATATTTGTGCTCTTCTTTTGCTGCTGGTTCAGTGAAGTTTGGTCGGAGCGTGACGAAACCTGCAGCTTTGGAATCTGCGCGAGCTCAGCTTTAAGACAACGTGCCGTTTGTTTGGCTGCATGAAGTCAAGAGTTCATGGCTTTGTTGTTTGTGTTTACATACGTGTTGCAAAACATGACTGCTCTTTAACTGTTTGGTGGTTGTAGAAATGGTTTATACGAGCTTTTAGCTGAGATTCTGAGGTTTCTGTGGTTACCACACATGTTGATATTTACATCAAAAACTTGACTTGATGGAGGCTCAAACTGCAGCTCACCCCCTCTGCCCCCAGGACTGCAGGTATTGGGGCTCAAGACATTATAACAAGTGCTCAGGGAGGGGCGGGGCCATCTGCTGTGAGAGAAGGAAGACAGGATAAAGACATGCTGTGGAAGAGAGACAGAGATTAATGACAGGTATGATTCAATGCAGAGAGGTCTGTTAACACATAGTGAGGTAGAAACACCCAGTGCATCATGGGAATCCTCCAGCAGCCTATTGCAGCATAACTAAGGGAGGATTCAGGGTCACCTGGTCCAGCCCTAACTATATGCTTTAGCAAAAAGGAAAGTTTGAAGCCTAATCTTGAAAGTAGAGATAGTGTCTGTCTCCTGAATCCAAACTGGAAGCTGGTTCCACAGAAGAGGGGCCTGAAAACTGAAGGCTCTGCCTCCCATTCTACTTTTAAATACTCTAGGAACAACAAGTAGGCCTGCAGAGCGAGAGCGAAGTGCTCTGATAGGGTGATATGGTACTACAAGGTCATTAAGATAAGATGGGGCCTGATTATTTAAGACCTTGTATGTGAGGAGCAGGATTTTAATTCTGGATTTAACAGGAAGCCAAAACAGGAGAAATATGCTCTCTCTTTCTAGTCCCTGTCAGGACTCTTGCTGCAGCATTTTGGATTAGCTGAAGGCTTTTCAGGGAGTTTTTAGGACATCCTGATAATAATGAATTACAGTCGTCCAGCCTGGAAGTAATAAATGCATGAACTAGTTTTTCAGCGTCACTCTGAGACAGGATATTTCTAACTTTAGAGATGTTGCACAAATGGAAGAAAGCAGTCTGACATATTTGTTTAATATGTGCATTGAAGGACATGTCCTGGTCAAAAATGACTCCAAGGTTCCTCACAGTGTTACTGGAGGCCAAGGTAATGCCATCCAGGGTAAGAATCTGGTTAGAGACCATATTTCTAAGATATCTCGATATATATCGCGATAAAGCCTAAAAATAGATCGTCCTTATATCGCCCAGCCCTAATAGGAAGTAATAGAATATCTGTTGTTGGCACAATCTGGATCTTGACTGATGCCTCGTGTCAGTTAAACTAGGATATTGATCTGGTCAGTTAAGTAGCAGAGGACGCTGTCAGTCAGTTTCAGTGTTAATGGAAATGACAACAGCTGCAACAATGAGACAGGAATGCTTGTACAGGTGGAGCCCACTGACATGCTTCCACTCCTCAGCTTTTGAATGTTTTTTCACTAGTTTCATATTTGGTCAGGGTCACTACTGGCAGCATGAGGCGATGCCCTGGAGAGGTTAGACATACAGGAACAAAGACAATCATTTGTGCAACCTTTGATTGGACAGCACGGGTGTCAGCTGGCTGAGTCAGAGACATGATTATTCAGTGACATACAATAACTCCTCCCGACATTTATTCATAACCAGCATGTATCAGACGTTAGCCATCAGTTAATACTGCAGCTTTCACCGATGGGTTTCAGTTTGTGTTGCTTGATAAATGCGTTGCTCTGCTCTGCCTTCACAGCAGTCATGCTGAAATATTGAGGCAGTGGGCCCTGATGCCAAACCAACGATGAGGTATGACAACAAGGGACAGTCCAACAGCAAATACTGCGTTACCTGTGCTGTGTTGTATTGCATACAAATGACGCCACAGCAGGTGCTCATGGAAAAGAGGCAGCGGTGATCTGAGTGATTATGGGGGTGGCTGTAGCTCAGGAGGTAGAGCAGGTCATCTGCTGATTGGTGGCGTGAGCTGTCATGTTAAAGCAGACTTCTCTTTTTACCTGCACTCGCTGTCTCACCTGTCTCCTGTATATTTTCTGCCTTATAATCAGTCTGTGTGATTATAGCTGCAACGCTTCAGATGACGTCTGATTCCCTCGTTGCAAGTCAGACAAAAATGTCTTTTCATTTAAGAATGAAGCAAACATCAGCCTGCAGAATCATGCAAGAAGGCAAAAATGCTGCTCAGAGCTGTTTTAGCTCTAAGAATATTTGACTCATTGCTTTACCTGTTCTTTCTTTAATAGCTTTGTTTTAGTTTGGAAGGAGGAGCGGCACATCAATGTCCGGCCCTTCATTGTCCTGTATCTGTCAGCACTACAGCACTGCCTGACATTTCTTTCTCCTGTCGCCACCAAGAACACAGACGCGGTGACGAGGTGCTGTTTGTGTCCCTGAAACCTGATGTGTGCGTCACATGATTTTAAAATAAAGCGCCTCGAGGCGACTTTTGTTGTGATTTGGCGCTATATAAATAAAATAGAATTGAAAATGACTGTGTGTCAATATTGGTTCATTTAAACATTCGTTTGTGTTTTGCGTGAAGTTTTCCATGAAACAAATCGTGTTTTTCTCCACGTTTGCGTCGAACGTCCTAATGAATGAAAAGGCAAACTGTGAGGTGTATCTGGTGTTACTCTGTCAGGCATCCAGTGATGTGAAAACACCGCCAGCGTTAACGTGTCTAACTAGCTGCTGTTGGATCCCATCTACTGCTCAGTCCTTGTGTTGTCTGCACAGCCATGTGAAGTCCATGTCCCAGTCTACTGACAGTGACTCATATGGTTGTAACGAGCAGTGATGTGGGGATTAAAAACAGGGCTTTTAGATGAAACAACACTTCCTGCGTGTCAGCCCAGTTGGAGCTGTCATTTTGAAAGTTACACAGTTGATGCCGAGTGTTTGTTCCAGCCTGTTGGTGTGTAACGAGGAACGACACTGTGTGATGGTTGGATATACTGGTGCTTATACTGATGTTTCAGGTGTTATCCAGGACCCGTGCATGACGGCTGTCATCTTACATCCTCTGCAAAAGCACCAGTGTACTTTTTTACGATGTGGAGATATCATTACTACCACAGTGCTGTGCATTTACGTTGCCTCGTGCAGGCAGAGACGAGCCCAGACATGCCCCCCCCCGCCAATTTAATACACACCTTCACACCTTCTAGAAGTCATAAGCCTTTAAACACACAGCACTAGTGTCAGAGGTTTGTTCCTGATGAGTGGAGAGACTGCAGTGTGGGCGTGCTCTGACTTCACTGTTAGAGTAGTGTTTGTAGAACTTCTTGTCTTTCAAGTGCCAGGAAGATGATGTTGTTGTGTGTGTGTCACATTTGGTGTATAAGAAAACTGATGCGAAGATGAACAAACATTTATGAAGGTGTGGGGTGTCTGAGTAACACACTGTGGTAAACTGTGCAGTGATACTGTTTTAGTTTCAAAGTAACCGTTTCATTTCATCCCCAGAGTGAAGACTGAAATAAAACCTCAGTGCTGAGCTTGTGTATCATTGAAGAACCACTAAGTACTTGTTTGTGTTCTCCAGCGCCGGCCCTAAAGGAGACAACATCTATGAGTGGAGGTCCACCATCCTGGGCCCTCCAGGCTCCGTGTACGAGGGGGGAGTGTTCTTCCTGGATATCGCCTTCACACCAGACTACCCCTTCAAACCACCCAAGGTGAAACTGAATGCTTGCTATTCAAAAGACATGAACGAATGTTTTATTTCAGATTGTTCACTAGAGGGCGCCTCTGTCCTGTGGAGAGTAGCTACATGAATTTTAGCAGCTTAACTAAGTTTCAGACCTCATGTGGAAACAGTTTAGCCTCATGTGTGACTCTTTTCAAAGAGTGTGTGGGGAGGGGGGGCATGTAGTGCTGGCCTTTAAACCCACGAGCTGCTGCTCTTCTGTAATGTTGACTCTTGAGTGACACTTGATTGTAACGAGCTGTATTTTTATGGAGTTTCTACCTGTGTGATCAGGTGACGTTCCGTACGAGGATCTACCACTGCAACATCAACAGTCAGGGCGTGATCTGTCTGGACATCCTGAAGGACAACTGGAGTCCCGCCCTCACCATCTCCAAGGTCCTACTGTCCATCTGCTCCCTGCTCACTGACTGCAACCCAGGTGAGAGCTTCACGTGCATACAAACTCTGTTAGACTTACAAAACCGAGATATCGAAGCGTGGATCAGATCCTGTCCAGATATCGACGAAGCCAGGGTCTTCACTGCAGTTGTAGCTTCTACTCTGACATGCAGCAGAGCGCTAACGTTGGCAGCAGAGTCATCAGTTTAGATGCATGTGCGGCTTGCTGCAGCTTTACCGTAGTCAAATGAATCACGTCTGAAAAGCTCGACAGCAATGCTGTTTCTCTCAGCCGCATCAGGAAAGCTTCTCTTGTACTTAACATAATGTGCAGTTCCATGAATTTCAGTGTTTGGGTCCTGATACTCCACGGTGTGTTCAACAGCTGCCACATAAAAACTGAAAATAGGACCATTTTTGTGTTCCAGCTTTAAAATGAATAAAGACCTTTTGTCATGTTGTTTTCATGCTTTATCCATGTAGGACTTCAAAGGAAGCTGTGGTACAATGTAACTGATCAGGTTAAACTCCTGTGGCGTGGTGGTGCAGTGGGAAGTACTGGTTTGACCCACAAGCAGATAAGATGTTGGGCTTCTACATCAGCCACGACGTGTAGCTTCAATGGTAGAATAAATGTGACCAGCTGTGAGCGCTCAGTAAGGCTGTATTTCAGACCAGTGCGTGTCCACGGTGAGCACTGTGGAGTGTCCTGGGCCAGAGGGGTTTTTTCTTCTACGTAACAACAAAAAAAACACACACGACATTCAGCCTGTGTGTGTTTGTGATGACCGGTTTCATCCCAAACAGGACTGTCACCCACACACAGCTCTGTGTACTTTGCTGTAGTTTTTCAGCCCAGCTGGAGGTGTGTAAATAAAGTAACGTGTTGTTGTTTTGTTGACAGCTGACCCTCTGGTTGGAAGCATCGCCACACAGTACACAACAAACAGACCTGAACACGACAGGATAGCCAAACAGTGGACCAAACGCTACGCCACATAGTGGCCCGAGCTGCTGCTGATTGGACGACCTGGGAGGAGGATTTGTTTTTTTAATCTTGGAACTGAAGTCTTCAAACCTGACATTGTTGTTTATTGTATTAAGTTATCCTTTGGCCTGACTATAATCAGATCTGCCAGTAGCACATTTAGTGTCTCCTCTTTGAATAGTTTGCCCGTGCTTGACGATGGGCATTAATACTTAACTACTAGATGAAATGTGTCAGCATGATTCCCAGTCAGTGGTGTCAGTGTAAATTTCCACTTGTATTAAACTTCCAGTTAGTGTTGCGAGCTGCAGCCGTAGTTTACAGGCTGCACTTCTCAGTATTTGTGTGCTGCTGAGAATAAAGAGAAGCTAACGTTTACCAGCACCCATTTCTGCTTAAGCTCATTCACATATTGAAGTGACCGTCTGAAGGTTTTCTTACTTTGTCACAGCGAGCAGTCACTCAAACACTGGGATAACTGCGCTGGGACCCGAGGGCCGCTCTGGCGTTTGCTGCCACGCTCAGACTTAGAGAAAGTTGTTTCCACATGTAGACGTGTTTAGGTGGATGTTGGTTGTGGTTTGTGTTCTGTACCGATGAAGAGCAGCACTGTTTCTCCCTTTAAGGATTAAACATGACCAACCAAAGCGACCCACTTGTTTCCCATCATTTCAGGAGCTGATAACATGAAGGGGCTACATTTTATTCAGTGCATCCTCAGACTGTTACAGAGCAGAGTACATTAGCCAAGATATTTCACCTCTGTTCTACTAGCAGCACATTAAATGTTATTACTGTTAAAACACTTTCAGGACACGTCAGATCATCATTCATCACCATTTTCACAAGTAAAGGAATGAGGCTCAATAAAGTGACAAAAATAAATTAGTTAAAAATATTTCCTCTCAACAACGTCTACAGTTAGAAAGGCAAACACATCCCTGTCGGATTAAACCGACTGCACTCCTGCGTGTACAGGAAACATGAAACATCACGAGTAAAGGCAGTACCATGACTATTATTGCTACCAGGCCATACTTGACCGCCGCAGTCGTATCAGAGGACAGGAAGGATGCGGCGTTCACACTGAATGGGAAACGACAGGTTTGTACTGGCCTCCTGTTTTTGAAGGGAGAACTCATATTAGTAATCTAATAACAACACGTCTGCTTAATGTGTAACGCTGGGGGTCAAACCCTCCCAAATCTTTGGTTCTCCATTGTTAAGATGGTTTGAACCTCCCCGTGTGATCACCTGTGCGCACGCAGCTTTTCAACGCCTGCTTCTCTACCAGGTTTGGGCCCTGACACCTCTCTAATATTTGGTTCAGTTAAAGTCACTGTCCACGTCAACAGGTACAGACGATAAAGGATCGATCCATCCAACAGAACATTTCATTTCCTGAAGTTCTTTCAAAGTTTTCTTCAGATCTGCTGTTTAACACTGATCTGTGAATCATTCAAGCATACAAAGGTGCCTAACTCAAAGGATGAACAAGTGTGACACTCATTCCTGGAAAAGAGCCGTCTGTGACCATAAACACCTGGATTACTTAGTTTCACTTCATAGTGGACACATAACCTGTTTAAAAATCTGATTATTCTAGCTCATTAGCTAACTACTTGCCAATCATGTTAGCCAATGAGGTGTGGTGTTACAGTGAGCTCCACTTCTCGCTGTCACCACCTTAGTTTCAAAATCCTGACAGCAAAGACACATCTACGGCTTCATCATGAGACTTGATGAAGTGGTGATGTCACAGAGGCGGCATCCATCTGTAGTTTCATCAACAGCAGGCACAATCCAAAACTTGGCAGACGTATGGTCATGATAAGCACGACAAACTGCAGTCAGAAGAAACGACTATTTAAATAAAAATACATAAAATTCTTCTGAGTTTGTACAGAGATGAGTGACCGCAGCAGCGCTGGAAGGATGTATAACCTACTGAATATTTCCAGCGTGCCGTTACCCTTAAAAAGTTAAAAAAGAAAAACTACATTCCTGTATCAGAGGAGTGCCTGTGTGACCACATCCTTCCTCCAGGGCTGTACTCGAAGCAGGCCATCAATTATGTCATCAAGCAAAAATCCCAAACGGTTAAACCGAAATCCCGTCCACAGCGTGCTGCTGGGAGTGAACGCAGGAAGGAGTGTGTCAGATGTCATTGGATGGGGACCCCTTGCTCTTACGTCCAGGCAGAGGGAAGGCCGACTTGCTCTGAGGCTGCGTGAGGCGGCTGGTGAGCTGGGTGAACGGTTCGATGAGCGAGGTGCGTTCAGTGACGCTCACCTCCCACAGCTTCACCTTCTCGCCTCGTGCCCACTGCTGTGCTGCTTCGTGCTCTACCTGACGACGCTCCCGCAGGTCTGTTTTGTTCCCCAGCACTATGACCATCACCTGCACCCAAAACAAAGCCACGTCACTTTTAAGTGATCTACATTTACACAGGAGAAAACACGAATACATGCAAGTGTGGAATTTTAGAGTCCAACGTCTCTGTAAAGTTTTTGTTTTTCCCAAATATCCGCCTGTCCGAGAATATTCTACACATTCAAGGGTTTTTTTAATCCAACATTAAAGAAATATACTGAGGCTAGCAAACTACGAAACATGTTTTTATCTCTATATATCAATACTGTGTCTACTCGCAGTCAGGAGGCTTCATGTTCACTTCTTACTGCGTTTCAAACAGTCGATATAAAAGCTCACACCCGTGGTGTTCCCCCCCAGCTGCGACTGTGGACGCTCACTGGAGCTTTTCCCACACATGTCAAATCGTTTCTGGGCGAGATACCCAAATTGCACCCGATGCATCCATCAGTGTATGAGTCTGTGCTTAAAATGCATTTGTTTTAATGCTGCGTCGACCTCACACAGCGCAGGTGTTTCGAAACATCCTTGTCACATGACCACAGCTAACTAAGGTTTTGGTGCATTCCATCCCAGTTTGAACATCTGGCTGACCGACTGCTTTTAGGTTTGGTTGACAGTGTGCAGAACAAACCTGATGACACTGCAAAGTCACAGAAAGCTTAACAGTCAGCAGTAGCAGCGAAAACACCCACAGTGGAACTGCTCATGGCACTGTGGAGGTCCATAGACGCCTCACTGAGGCCTTTGTTTCAACAACGCGTGATCCACTAATTTAGTGATCAGAGATCAGGCTGTCAGAATGTGATGAGCGGTGAGGATGACTACAGCGAAGCTGAAACATAAGTCAGTTTAAAACTCAAATGCTAATGCTATCAGAGTTCAGGTTTGCAGCTTCCTCTGTGTCTAAACAAAATTCGGTCAGAGCAGATAAACTGAACTATGGAGAATAAAATGCCGTAATGTTAAATGTGTCAAAAAGGCTAACAGGCCCTGAACTCAAACTGGTGGAGCTGCCCTCTCCACCCGTGATATTGTAGCAACATAAAGTAGCTTCCCTAAGTGTTACACGTCGACTCCTTTCTCCACCTTTATCTTCCTGTTTAGGTCTGCTCTGTCTGTGGGTTGTTATTCGTGTACGCTGAGGTTCTCTTGGTGCTGCTGGTCATGTTTTTTGGAACAGTGACCTTATTATATGCATATCTTTAAAATGATACAAGTATTCACTTTTAAGAGCAAACATGTTTTATACTCATAAATGTATAGATTTGTCTATATAAAACCATTCAGATGATTTCTAGCAAGTTTTAAAGACACGTCCAAACATGTCTTATCTCTTTCTATTCTCCATAAGGTCCAGTTTACACTGTTTAGTACTACACTCACTGTAAAGCTGTACAGCTAAGAGGCGGAAACTAGAGCTGTTAAGAAATACTCTAAATGTAATTATATTATTTAATCAGGCAAAAACTAGACATCTGCTCACAGAAAAAGAACTTGTGAAGTTCTGGGATGATATGCCAGCAATCTGTGCAACGTTTGCCCGAGCAGACTTCAACCCAGCCTCACCTCTTTTTTATCTCTGGACTTATCTATTTCTTTCTTCAGAACGTCCACCCTCTTGAAAGACTCCAAGCTGTCAACACTGTAAACAAGCACAAAGCCATCTGCCACTGAGTAGTAGTGCTTAGGGAGGTCTTGTCCATCATTCAGTCCCTTGGTGTCATAGAGCCTGAGCTGTTCCTTGACACCTCGGTCGGTTTCCACAGAGGCCACATACACGTCCTCCTGTGTCTCGTTAGACTCTGACCCTGAAAGGTACAGACGAAAAATAAAAAGAGTTACTGAAACAGCAAATGAGGATCTTGGCAATGAAGCATTGGAATGCTCTCATACAGCATGATGTATCAACACCATGTAATATAAATATACCAAACAATTCATGTCCTGGAAGAATGTACGTATGCTATGCCAAATAAAGAGTGTTCAAAGCTTCGTCACAGAAACAAGTAACATCACGCCCCTGTACGTCCAGTCCTCACCTACACTGTGGTTTCCGTACAGCAGCTGTTCCAGAATAGCAGTTTTTCCCACAGCCGCCTGGCCGCACACCACAACTTTACAGCCTTTTCCCATGTCGAGTCTGTGACATCAAGACAGAAGGTCACGGTGTGTACAGAAACGCGTTAGAACCACAGTAACATCAAAACGACCGACAGCCCCTCAAAACATCAACAGACATGTTCACCCTTAGCTTGTACCTAGCTGGCTAAAGCTAGCTATTGTTTAGCCAGCTAGCCGAAATACGAACACATATTTTTAAATTCTTTGTATGTTTGAGAAAAGTCGCTAACTTTAGTGAGGAAGATACGAGGCTTCCGTCAGGTCTGCAAGCGTAGAACCACGACCGGAGGATCCATTCTGCTGTGAGATTATAGAGCGACAGGTTCTGTCAGAGCGCATGCGCAGTTCACCATACGTCAGAGCCCTCGAAGATCACCAACTTTGCTCGCGTGTACGTTATTATTTATTTATTTATTTATTTTATTTATTTATTCATTTTATCTGTAGAAAATATGAAAGCTGATTAAAGACAAGTTAAAATTACATTTAAAAAAAAGTTTAGCGCATGTTATTAATGTTAACTTTGTAATTGACTCCTAATTAATATGCAGTTCGACGCAGTGAATTATGGCTCCGAATTTGTCTTTATGTTTACAAATATTTTTGCTTTATATTTGTAGGAATGAAATCACTGGAAACTGGACAATGAGCGCGTGTTTGATTATGAAAATTACCACATAAGTGACAAACGCGAAAAGTCGAAGAGAAAAGAAGACCACATTTCCCAGGAGCACTGCGAAAAGCGGAAGTACGCTACTGCCGTTTTCCTTAAGGCATGCTGGGTACTTGCCCTCTCTCTTTCCGGCTAGTACGCCATCATGTAAGCGAGTTTTTCTGTGCTTGTGACCAAATAGTAATCCGTTAAAATCATCATGTATACCCGTTCATCTGTATCTGTGACTCGGGCTGTAGCTTAGTGCTTTGTTATCAATCTGTACTCTGTGACTATTTCGTGGAAAAAGGTTAAAGGCTTTGATTAGAATCCTGTGCTTTAGTGGCGTTCAGATGCTCTCTGTCTGGTAGCCAGGGACCGCTAACGTGTCGTTTCCACTGTGATTTATTTATATAAATGTAGAGTTCTAGCGTTTGGATCACTGTCCCACGTACGCGTGCATTTCTGTGGAGTTATTTCTGTGGGTATTTATGCGACAAAGAGCCGGCCAACTGCGGTGTGCTGCTGTCGGCTATGCTAGCCTTGTATACAGCTTATGCTAAGCGTGGAGTGGCTACATCTGCTGTGTCGCTATTTCATTCTCTTCATGTGTCTGAATGTTTTTGGGGAAACCTGAAGCATGGACGTGTTTGCGTAGCCTTCATATTCTGAAGGTATCCAGTCCAGGTCACGTCCAGCCATGTGCCGTTTGAAATGTAGTAATACATGAATTTCTATTTAAAATGTGCCGAACTAATCTTGTAACTTGCCAACAGTTCAGTGATTTAAAGACTTGTTAGATCGTACCTGTTGGGCTCTTCAGCGTAGCTGCCGTAAACAGTGTTGCTCTGCTGAACTGTTGGTTGCACTGTAAAGGAAGGTAGCGCCTAATGAGCTTTTAATTAACAAGCTGACAAAAATGACTTGACCAAAGTTTCTTTTTCTTCTCAGATAAGTCAACATGGGGGCATATAAGTATATGCAGGAGCTATGGCGTAAGAAGCAGTCCGACGTGATGCGCTTCTTGCTCCGCGTCCGCTGCTGGCAGTACCGTCAGCTGTCCAACCTCCACCGTGCTCCCAGACCCACCAGGCCAGACAAGGCTCGCAGGCTGGGCTACAAGGCCAAGCAAGGTGAGTGCTGTGCCTGTGGTTGTTCGCCTCCACGTCTGTCACCTGTCATCATCTGTACCCATTTGGGTAATTGCATATTTTTGTTCGATCGAAACAGGCTACGTGATCTACCGTATTCGTGTGCGCCGTGGAGGTCGTAAACGCCCCGTCCCCAAAGGTGCTACCTATGGCAAACCAGTGCATCATGGTGTCAACCAAATCAAGTTCGCCCGCAGCCTGCAGTCCATCGCTGAGGTACGTTCATACCTGCTGATCCAACCTTGGTTTCATGAAGCTACACCAAGCGTCAGATAGTTCAGTACTGAATGTGACATTGAGCATCATTAAGCCTGTTACTCATTTTATTACATTAATGTGAATATCGTGTTAGTAATATGAAAGGATGCCTTACTTTACTGCCCACAGTAGCTTAGTGTGATGGTGGATTAACAATGTTAAAGGTGTAGTTGCCACTCACACCCCAGCAAATAGTTTTCATCAGTGGTCGTATCTTGTGTTGAAACCTACAGAATGATGTGATCTGTGAAATGAAAAGTGTTTGGATTCCTGTTTGTTTGTTATAATATATTCTTGGCCAATATCCTGCACCCCTCAGCAGTCCTGTATAAATGTGCTGTGCAATGTTAGACGCTGCATTACTTTAGTATGTGCTCTCTGTCTTGATGTAAATGTGTGTACAATTTTCCTTATTGCAAAATTGTCCGCTTACAGATTGGACAGGTTCTCTGCAGAGTGTTAATGGAACACTAACTGCACTGGTCATGTTCATGCAGCTGGTGGGATGAGTGGGCACAGTGGGATTGACTTGACAAACATGGGCTTATCCACAATCTTTAATCACCACTTTAAAAAACGTGCATCTGTTTTTGGAAGAAGCAAGAATACTGCACGCTCTCTTGTGCAGCAGCTTTCATAACGTTATCACGTTTACCTGTGATGCTACACCTAGCTCTCTGACTGAAACTAACTTCACAGGATGTTGGTGTGGAATTTTCTGAAGGGGAAACATCCAGTGAACATGTCTGGCTGTGAAATGGGAAGTTGCAGTGGTTGGAAGTTATTTTTCCCAAATGAAGCTGTGGCGTTGGTGAGGTTTGAGGCCTGCACTCGTGCAGACGTCTTTCTCAGTGGTGAAGGCTGCTTGCTTTTGTTTTCCTGACGTGAGCACACAAAGGTTAGCGGTGTGACGAGTGGCTCGGGCAGGTCTGACATTGTCTGTGGGTTTTGAATATTGGATTCAAAGCTTGTTGCCAACAGGAGCTAGCAGATATTGAATGCTTTAGAATGTGATTACCCTGCTAAGACTAAACATGACTTTTATTTTGTAGGAGCGTGCTGGCCGTCACTGCGGTGCCCTGCGAGTGCTCAACTCTTACTGGGTGGGCGAGGACTCCACCTACAAGTTTTTCGAGGTGATCCTGGTCGATACCTTCCACAAGGCCATCAGACGCAACCCAGACACCCAGTGGCTCACAAGAGCGGTGCACAAGCACAGAGAGATGCGTGGCCTGACATCGGCGGGTAAGAAGAGCCGCGGCCTGGGTAAGGGCCACAAGTTCCACCTGACCATTGGAGGCTCCCGCCATGCAGCCTGGAAGAGGCGCAACACCCTGCAGCTGCACCGCTACCGTTAGAGCGTGCCAGCCATGCCTGTACATTTACAAAAATAAACAGCTCTTTTTATGGGGGTGATCTGTGTCGTTTCATTGTGTTTGTAGAACGTGAGCACGCTCTTTACTGATGCTCTTTCAAAGGGTTATCACGACAAGTCCTCGTGCCAGACCTGTGCAAGTGAAGACATTTACACTTTACTGGATTAGGAACAAGGTTATTTTAAAATAACTGGGAGCTTTCTGTACCTGTGGCACTCTGGAGAAAAATAATTCAGATGAGCTGCAGCTCAACGTCTTTGAAAATGTAAGTTAAAAACTAAAGAGATTATCATTTTTAAAAAAACACAACACGATATGAGACATCACAACGCAACACAAACAACACAACACAGTATATTAACTTGGTAATAAAAAAATAAGTATGTGTATTGCACACTGTTATTATTGCACATTAATTATTATTGCAGGCTTTTAGAAGCACTGTAGTTTCCTTGTACTTAGTGCTGTAATCGAAGTGATTCTTAGTTGGTACTAAGAAGCCCAAACAGCCATCACACGCTGGGAGGAGGCGAGCTGCCTCTGTGCTTGAGCGTTGTTTACACCAAACTCTGAACCTGCCATCCCACGAAACATTTAGCAAATCTGTTGCTTCGGTTTCTCATAAGTATGTGAGGAGTGGTACCTGGCACATGCTTTGCTCCATAGAACAGCAGATTTTGAAATACTCAGTCTGGCAACGAGGGATGCTTCAATCAGCGTCTCCCCCCATATTGATTTCATGCTCCATATTTCCCCACCCAAGGTTCATTAAGTTCTGTAGTAGGTGGGTGTATTGTCACGTTACCTGGGGTTGAAGACACTGGGTCAGTTTTGCTCATGTTGAATAAAATACAATAAATAAAAAGTATGTTTACATTAACCAGTACAAAGGATCGGGTGTTAGAATAACCGTGATGCTAATAGAACAGGCCTCACTGAGAGCCTGCACAGTCTGACCTGTGTGGTGCAGAAAGAGTGACAGTGACACACTGGATGACTTAGAAAACAAATAAATGGTGACTGATCCAAACAGAGTTTTAAGAAGTAAAAGTATTCCCGTGTATGTGACGGGATTCATGCTCATGTGAAGATGTGCTGAGGACAAATTGAAGTGAAGTGAGCAGGTGGGCCGTAGAAGTTCGTTCACAGTTCCAGGTTCCAGCAGGGACACTAGAAGGAGGACTGAAGTCCAACCTGTGAATTCATTCTGTGCTTTTCATCTGCTCGTTTGTGCCGTGGTAGACGGTTGGTTCAGAATGATTTGGATTTCCACCACACTTCCTCTGGATGCCCGGCTGCTTTCCTGTTGGGTGACTATCATCAACTGAGAACACGGGAAGAGGTGCAGCTTTAGGCTAAGCATAAGAACAACATCAGCACCAGCTCAGTATAGTTCAAGTGGTTTGGTTATTTTTTGTGTGATTTTAAAGTCTAAATTGTGAAATAACCAGTGCAACAGGACTCGACCTGCAGGGTTAGCAGGGAACACACCTGGATGATTTTGACCCACATCAGCTCTGTCTGAGCTCTGTATGCCTGCTGGGTAAGAGCCATAGGATTTGTTTAATCCAGAGGGTGGGGAACTCGAGGGCTGGTGTCCCGCAGGTTTAGATCTCACCCTGGGTGATGAGCTCATTACCAGGCCTCTGGCGAACTGCAAGACATGTTGAGGAAGTCATTTAGCCGTTTAAATCAGCTGACACGTCTAAAACCTGCAGGACACCAGCCCTCGAGGCCTGGGGTTGGACACCCCTGGATTAATCAGAGAGCCAAAACTGAGTGAATGTAAAACTCTATTTATATGAAACTATGATAAAAACTGTGACACTGATGCTCAAAGTTGGTCAAAGAAAAAGAGAAATATATATAGAAACAGGAAGCAAATGATTATTTGTTGCAGTTATATTTTTAGTCATTCTGTGCTCATGAAGTTTG